ATTATATTAAATATAATAATAAATATATATTATATTGTAATTATTTATATTATATTATAGTATAATATAATATAGTCGTAATTTTTAACTATCCACAGTAATTCAACCTCATAATTTACCAAACGCTATTACACTGATTTTGAAACCAATACAGCTATTATAATTATAGTTTACTAAACACTCAGCTGTTTTTTGTAACATTTGCTTTTTCCTTCAGCATAGCTAAAAATAAATTTTTCAACATCTACAGTACTATCAAATTAAGCCTAAGTACATGATGCTACGATTGAAAAATATAATCATCTTTAAAGTAGAATTAGGTTAATTTTTTTTATCTCTATTAGTGGGTTTCAAAATTTTTAAAGTAATAAAAGAATAGTGACCGGATAACACTAATGAACTCTCTTTTTTTTTAAAAGAAAAAAGTAAAAATTAAAAAATGTCATATATTGCCCGTCAGTTGATGATTGGATACATACATATATATATATATATATATATATATATATGAGTAAAGGAGGCATGTGTGAGCATTGTTGGCTTAATTATATCCTAATGATTTTGTTGCATAATTAAAGTTTTTTTTTCTTTAGAAAATTTCATTTTGGCACCGGCCTGTATTATATTAAATATTCTTTTGGTATCTTGTATTTTTATAATATATTAAACTGACATCTCGATGTTTTAAAAAATATTATTTTTTATTACATTGATGCCATTTTTTGGACATAAAAAAAAATCAATTTTGTCCTTAGTTGACTTAAATTGAAAAAAACCAAGCAGATTTTTAAAGACAAATGGGATGTTTTATTATAGGGATAGTGTTTTTCAATCATTAAATAAATTGTGATTTCGAATCAACTAAATGAGAAATTATGGTAAATTTAACATTTTATATCTCAAAAAATGTCTTAAATTACTAAAAAAAAAATGTTTTAAAACGTTGAATTATTAATTTATTATTATAAAAACACAAAATATCAAAAAGATATAGCATAGGGTACTATAATGAAATTTTCTCTTTTTTTTTTTGTCTTTCAATTATTATAATTTAATTGTCTGCTTCATTTTATAGTTGATTATTTTGTTTAGCAAAAGTTCGTTTATGCTGTTTATCTCAATGTTAACCTCACCAAGCAAATCCTTGCAAGTTTCTCGTTATTCGTGTTCGAATGGAAGTACTGAAATGTCATATGAGCATTGGTTTAAAGTGACTGTAACAACTTGATCAACTGTTTTTTTTTTCTTTTTTCAGAGCCATGACAGTTTACTTTGTAAGAACTTTTTTCTCAAGATTCAATCATTGAGATAAAGATTCGGGTCTTCTCTCCAAATTAAATGTTCTAATTTGCAGCAACAATCATATTATAATACGTTATTTAAAAAAAATATTAAAATGTTTTTAAAAGGAAATTTTTAATGATTTTTCTGTTTTTAGTGTCACGATTTATTAAATAATGTGGTATAATATAAATAGTAAAATATCATTTAAAATGAAAAAAAAAAATAGATCTTGAAATTATACATATGTAAATAAAGAGTTCAGATCCTGACCATCCACAGGGTAGTTACACCCAATATAGCGTACGAATATCTCTTTAATTACATAGCAAGATGCAACGGAAAACGGTAAAAATATGATTGTTTAAAATAAGAACATTTATGCATACACAGAATTACAGTTAAAAAAGAAAATTAACTCTCATCCAATTGCCGAACATAATACGTTACATTAACAAATAAGAGATTTCTATCTTAAACAGTTAAAACAGTTAAATTTATATAATTTTTATTCTAAATATGATTTTGATAAATTATTTTAATGTTTAGAAACATGTACATGTATAAATATCAATTATGATGGGAAGGTCCAAACATATCACCGTCCAAAGGGAGGGAGAAGGGAGTGAAAAAGCGGCGGCCGATTAAGCGGCAGCGTGGCACTTGGAAAACTTGGAAGTTGACATGTGTAACCACTGAGAAAGATCCAAGTGCAATTTCCTCAAGCTTAAGGCACCTGACAATGCTACAACGGCCAACGACCACGACCACGAGCTTTGAAAAGAAAAGAAAGAGAAGAAAATTAACTCATTTTTGTTTTACTTGTTTAATTCAGTTCGTCAGTTTAAATAGTAAATACAGTTTAAATTTATATTTAATAAACACTAATTATAAATTATATTATCCGTTTGAATTAAATTAAACTATTTAACTTAAAATTTAACTCTCATTATAATTCAACCGTTCAAACTATTTTTAAATAGTAAAAAGATGTAAACTCTATTTGCTTTTCACACGTAACAAATTTAAATTTAAATTTTATTTATTGTTTGGATTAAAATTTTAATTACACATCTAAACGTCAATTTAAACTACAATTTAAACCATACAGTTTAATTTTTTTTATTCAAATAAAAAAGTTCAAATCGACAAAATTCAAACTAGTGAATCAAATGGGGGCTCTAAAGTGTTGGACACTAAAAAAAAAATTTATAACAATTTTTGTTTGTTATATTATATTTATGAGACATTCTCTAATACTAACATACTGATATGTCAAATTTTATGTCTATCAGATCTGCATAAAATCACATAAAAATCAAAATGTACACAAATCTAACAATTAAAAAAATTTAACCTATCAGTATGCCAAGAGTATCAAAGAATATATATATATATACACACACGCTAACACAAGGCTGTCATTCTTTCCTTCTTTCTTCCATTTTCTTTTCTGGCTAAATAAATGATGACTTGTATTTGTCCTTTCCTCTCTCTTGTGAAATTCGAAGACCATAACACATTTGCCTGCTGTATGTTTGTTACTGGTAACACATTTGCCTGCTGTATGTTTGTTACTGGTTTGAGACGACATTTTGGCTTCATTTGATTTGTGATGCATGCTACCAAATATTGGATTAAATAGGGATTTTGTCAAACTTCATTTCCACGACCAAATTTCTTGATTTGGTGTAAGATTTTTAACCATTAATTCAAAATGTTTCACTAAAATTAATGCAATTACTAGATATAAGGCAATTTATCAAAACTGCCCCGCTAATTCTTTGTAATTCTTTTGTTAGTTATTTCTTGTACTTTTAGTCCACTGGTAATTACCGCTCCTTAATCTGTTATATTAACATTTCAATGGTCCGATATATGACTAGAAGTAATTATGCTGCTTTTTAAACTGTTAATATTAACTTTTCATCAATGGTGCTTTAAATTTGTAACATGAACACTAACAAACAAACCTTAAAAAGTTAATCCAAAATAGTTAAAATAGTGATACCTTCCAATAGAACAAAAACACAATTCCTGCGATAAGATTTCCCCTTTTGTAACATGATAATTTTCATTTAGCGATACACGTCTCCCGTAAATTCTCTCCACATTTAGGCAGAGAAGCAAGATTTCATTACTGTCTTTTAGTGGCAGTCTCTTGGAAACTGGTTACCAACTTGAAAAAAAAAAGACAAAATATTATGCAGACCATGAGATTCATGACAGAATAAATTGGACAAGTTTCAAGCTATTTGTGGAAAACAAATGAGTGAATGACGCAGGATGTATTTATTTCTTTCTTTTTGGGAATTCAAAACCTCTCCCTTATGATCTTATCCAAACTATTGTCATCTGAAAGAAAATTTTATGAGTGCGTTTAGAATTAATTTTAAAATAATTTTATTTTTAATAAAAAGTAAAAATAAAATTATTTTAAAAATGTTTTAAAATCGATTTTAAAATTACGTTTGATTAGTAATTTAAGAGATTGTTTTGAATATAATAAAAAATAAAATCGTGTTTATTAATTAATATATTATAATATTACTAATAAGTCCTAAAAAATGAAAATAAAAAAGTGAAAATTACTTTCAACTGTTTTCTAATCTTTTTATAAAAACCATTCTCGCTGTTTTCGTTTTCAAAACATTTGCTAAACAAACGTCATTTCGTGTTCATTTTGATTTTTAATTCTCAAAATACGTGAAAACCGTTTTCAAAAACGGTTCCAAACACGCACCATAATTCGAACTTGCAATCCACACAAAAGGAGAATTCATTTTGCTAAGCAAATAAATGAGAATTGAATTACACATAAACGCAAAAAAAAAAAAAAAAAAAAAATCAAAATGACCAAGGAAAGAAGAGGGAAATTGTATAAAGAAAACCTTTACTGTAATGTTGTTCACTGGTACAAATCTGAAGCTGTCAATTGCCATACAAAGCAAACTAATATACAAGTGTAAATATCAAGATTTGTGGAATAAGACGTCCAAGGTATTAAAAAAAAGCATTTATAGTTCACAATCTTATTGCAGATCCTTGTATACTCATCACACGGTATTGGTCTAATTAGTTTTCTATAATGTTGAAGGAGAACTTGGATAGTAGCTGTGGAACACCTGATATGATGGATCCATATGTCTACAAAACAAAACAATTAGGACAAAAAAAATTGAAAAAAAAAAAATCAAAACCAATCTATTATATTTGGATACACCGAGTCTTAAATGGGGTGTCATACATTTAAGGAAATTACTGCTTATTCCTTGCGTAACCAAAATGACACTTATGTGAAAGATATGACTGGATCATGCAATCAAAGAAAACTAGGCAGATCATCTCTTTGTAACATTAGGTTATATACCTTATGATTTTCGTGAACCTGGCATAACGGAACGGCAAGCAATTTTAGGTCTTTCGGCACAATGAACTTTCGACTTTCCGGTAACTTCACGAGGTAAAGTTTTGTGCATTCCTACAACACAGAGAAGCATCAGAACTTTGCCATGTTGTGCTGCTTATAAGTTGAAGAAAAGCCTTTATCTAGAAAGAAAAAGTGTACCTTAGGCCTTTTAACATTAGGTGACAAGTAGGGATAGAGCAATGTTTCGAAATCAGGCCTCCACCACTTTCCAAGGCATTCTCCCACCTAAAAACATTGGAACTCTATTCATCTTTGCATTCAAATTAGAAATGACATTTTGAACTATTGCAACGAAAAAAATCTTACCTCCCAATCTACCCCACCACTATTTTCATTTGCTGAAAGTTTTCTCGACAACTTTCGTTTCAACCCATCGATATCTGGAATGTCAAAGATTCTTAGTTTAACAAGTTCTTAAAACAATTCTTCTGAGTTTAATGACATTTCAACTCTCTAACTAAACAATTAGCGAGTGTCCTAGTGATATACCTGATTCCCCGGGTCTTAATCGACCGCCAGGAAGCTTAAAGATGGAGTTTCTTACTTGTAAGAGCAGCAAATGAGGATGTTTAAACAACTCCACCTGATTTGCCAAAAGGAAACTTTTTCAGTTCAGTAACTGTCCACCAAATTTGTTTTAGTATATGACAACTAGTACACAAAAGTCGAACCTTGATTTTTATCGTTTTCTTTTCTAGTAAAGTAAAACATCCAACCATCTAAGTAGCAATATTATTTCTCATTTTGTTTTTCTCAAGTGACATTTTCTATTTGAGTCAAATATATGGAACACTGCATTTAAAACTAATATGCCTACTCCTCGCAACATTTTAAAGCGGCACATAATAAGGTTTATAGGTCTTTTTCAGATATAATCAAAGGCAAAGAGGGAAGATTTCGTGAGACTCTACCTCGCAAACGGGTTCATTATTCGGTGCATTCTATGTATAAACCCCAGACTCACACAGACGATGATGACAAAAAAAAAAGGACCCCTTATAGGCCATCACAAGATGCATTGATGGCCTTATATCAAAAGATTAAGAACAAACTAGGGTCCTAATTTATATTCAACTTTCTAAAACGAACTTAAATAGCAGGCCAGTTATATTCTTCTTATTAGTACATATTTCTTTAAAAAACTTATCACATCAATTAATATTAAAAAATAGCATCAACCGATAAAAAGACGACAACAAACCTCAACTACGTATCAGTATAAACAAGTTTCAGGATCTCAAGCACAATTAAATACTAACTATGCTCCACAGGCCCTTTTCTATTGTAAACAAAATGGCTAAGTTATAAAAAGACTAAATTGCACTGTTGCACCTTAAAAATGTTTCTATGACACACCCCAAACTTTAAATTTTGGCAAATTGACGGGTTTTATAAGATATTCGCTCTTGACCTGGTTTGAAAAATGACCTGCTTTCCTACAGCACTACCGAGGCATTTTGTGGTTAAATTCAACAATTCACCAAAACAAAATGGTGCATAAATTAGCTTCCCTAACAAGAAGCTATTCACTGATTACTGTCAATCCTGATATGCAAAACAGAAAACACTAGCACCATCACTAGTAGTCTACAAAAACATCAAAATTGGTAACAAAAGTTATGGAAGAAAAGCAAAAAGGTGAAACAACGAAAACCAACCAGAATAACAGCTTCCACACATGCCCTCAATCCACGGGCAGAATAGCTACAGTGGAACCATCACAAAAACCAAATAAATAAGAAAAAAAAAGATAATAACATCAAAAAAATTGTCAATAAAAAAAGGAAAAAAAAAAAAAGATTATAACCCAGTTGAGAAATGGTACTTGGATTTCATCCTGAGAAGACGATCGGCCAAATTCTCATCCTTTAAGGGAAGAGCCTCTTTGGATCCAAAGTAGTAGCTGCTCAGAGGATAAATGTCCAAAACAAGACTGCTTGTTTGATTCTGATTCTGATTATGATTCTCTTCGAAAGTTGCATCACCCATCGTCAACTAGAAACACTCGTGAATTTGCAACAAGAGAGGAAAGAGAGAGAGAGAGAGAGAGAGAGAGAGAGAGAGAGAGAGAGAGAGAAACTGAAGAACAGAAAAGGAAATGTGGGATTTTGCTAGACTTGCTGAGTCACTACTGTTTTTTTTTTTTTTTTTTCTCTAATCAACTGAGTCACCACTGTTTGTTGTGTCGGTTTTGGTCTGGAACGTGGGCGTGGCGATTCCAGAGAGACCTGAAGAACGAATATTTAAAAGGTGGTCGGTTAATGTGTGTGTACTATGAAGTGGACGGGACGTTATTGGGCTTATTTGGACTCTTATGTCGTATGGATATGGGTTGGGTACGTATTTTCTGGGCCTATCTTGGTACTCTACGTGGGCCACAATGAAGTTACCCACAAACCGACAGGAATCCAACCCAGACACGATAAGATTTGGAAGACTTTCCAATTTAAGAACTAACTTCGAAGCCTTTGTCTCTTTAACCTTTTTTACGTAGAAACTAAACTTAAAAAAAAAAAAAAAAAAAAAAAAAAAAAAAAAAAAAAAAAAAGCTAACAAAATAGAAAAGAAAAATTTGAAACTTTCTATGAATATATCTTGCAATCTAAGTGAAGTAAATAGTGTGTAAACTCAGTTGCGTTGCTTCAAAAGATGATGTAAAAATTTTACCCTCCAAAGGGTACATCACGTTGGTTGATTATTCAATCAAAAAGCCAGCTCTAGTTTCGCCTTTTGCCATTTCTAATTACCTCTCTTGGAATATCATTGCCCTCAAAATAACCATCACAGTTTTTCTGTTTATTGAACAGAAAAGTTGAACATAAATTGAAATTTTATAAGAAAAAACACGATAAGAAAAAAGCTCAAATAATAGTTCAGATTTATAAAATAAATGCGTACTTAACTAAGTCAATAATTGACTTCTTTTAATACGAAAGAGAGAGAACCAAGGAAAAAATTCAAGTCCAACATGCCTAGCACGGCAGGACCAAAACAGTTCACATTGTTAACTTCTATTTCTTTTTTTGTTTTTTTTTCCCCTTAATCGTCTTATATTATTTCAATTAGGACAGTGATTATCATTAGTTAATATTTTACATGTTATGATGGTTGTGGTATTTTTGATAATACAATATAAAACATAACATTTCGAATAAATAGAGGAGAGATTTAGGCGCTTGTTTCTTAAAAATTTAAATAAATAAAATCAACCTTCCAATTAAGGGTACTTTTTTTTTTTTTTTTCTCCAAATCTGCAAGAATATTGGTAGTTATATATAGATCAACATAATATATCAAAACATTGGAATGTGGTGGGATATTTTAGTCCTTTTATTGTTGTTGTTGTTGTTATTATTTTTATTTTATATTTTCGAATTGTGATGGTGGGTTGTGCCTAACTTCAGTCTTAACTGCTATAACCACTGACTGCTAAACTTGCAATTAATATTCTCTTTGTCTGCTTCATAAGACACCTAACTTGTTTCTCTAATTAGCTTATATTCCATCAATAATAAGATGTTAGATACTCAATATTGTCTCTTACTAGTTAAGACGTAAGGATTAAAAAAAAATGTTGTCGTTTTGGTTAGAAGTCTAAATTTAAGTAAAGACTCGTTGATAGATGACTAATCTAGGGGCAAAAAGAGAATAAAAAAAATATATCATTAATTGATAAATAAACTTTAGTATTTATCAAGTGGCAATACATCATACATGCAATTAAAATCGGATTCCTTCAAGAAAGAAATGATCAATGGAGGAGACCCATTTGATGAAAAACATTAGATTATATCAAACAAATACCCGTTAAAATGTATGAATTTTAGATTTTTATCCATTACATTTAACCTTCATAATCTTTGTAGTATAAAATATGCTTCTAGTTGAATTGATTGTTTCGTGATCTATTGAACAGGTTACAAGCTATTTATGGAAAACAAATGAGTGAAAAAGTAGCGTCAGTTTATTGCTCAAAGCCTAGATGTGGTTTGCTGATTGTAGTTTTACAGCTCTTGTCAGTTTTACAACGACGTGTACTTTTTATGCTGCCACGTTTTATCCTCTACGATAAACATGTGATCATGAAATAACGACAGTGAGGATAGAAACGACAACCAGATGAGACGCGAAACAAACGACACGAATGAATAAAAAGACATAAAACGATAAAATGAACAAAATTAAAAACGACAAGAAAATAAGAAACGATCGAAATATATAAACTGTACAAAAGCCAAACGACATATATATATCTATACATATAAAGACAACGTAACGACATAATCTTCAAGTCAACGACACTTGCGTTATAACATAACAGACATAATAAATCGCAACGGAGCATAAATAAGCAAACAATGACAAGAAAGACGAGACAGGCATAACTTCAAGAATGAATAGACGATAAATTTGTAAAACAACGGATGTATAAAAACGACGAAAAATGAGAAACCACCAGAATGAATTGATGAAAAAACAAAACAATAAAAAATCATTTAAAAAATGTAGAAAAAACAAGAATGGATAAACACCAGAAAAGGACAACAAGACTTACAAGAATGAACAACGACAACAAAATAAGAAACGACAAAAGCGTATAAACGACAAGGGAGACAAACTAATAGACTGCAGATAAACGACAATTCGTTGAGTGTGTAAGACTGGTTGGTCTTTTGTAATCTTTTAAACTTAGTGAATTGATCATTGTCTGGGCGTGGCCCTACAGAGTAGGTGTGCGCACCGAATGCGATATCATTTTCTGGTGTCCTTTATGTTTTTGCATTATTTTCCTGCATTGCTATTTTGCTGGTTTAATTTCAGATTTTCTGTTAAAATAGTATTACAGTAAGTGTTATAACACTATCTGTGACACCAGCGACAAAAACAGACCTAACAATTGGTATCAGAGCGGTTTAACCGTTTGCTTGGTGAGATTTTAGGAACTTGTCTGTTACAGCAGGTATGAATTTTTTGAAAGAAGGCAGTTCAGTTTCGCGTCCTCCCCTCCTAGACGATTCCAACTACTCATATTGGAAAGCACGTATGAAGGCGTTCATCAAAGCTATTGATGAAAAGGCATGGAGAGCTATCTTGACTGGTTGGGAGCATCCAGTTACAAAGGATTCTGAAGGGAATGAGATATTGAAGCCCGAAACTACTTGGTCAACTGAAGAGGACAAGTTGGCGAACAACAATTTTAAAGCGTTGAATGTTATCTTCAACGGGGTAGATGCGAACCAATTCAAGCTCATTTCAACGTGTGAAACAACCAAAGATGTATGGGAGACATTACAAACGGCACATGAAGGTACGGCTGTCGGGAGAATCTCTAAACTTCAAATCCTTACTACAAGGGTTGAGAATCTTCGAATGCAAGAAGATGAAACAATTTCTGAGTTTAATTCAAAATTGTGTGATATTGCTAATGAGACATTTGCCCTTGGAGAGAAAATATCAGAGGAGAAGCTTGTGAGGAAGGCCTTGAGGTCTCTTCCACAGAGGTTTGCTTACAAGGTGACAGCTATTGAGGAAGCCAAAGATGTCCAAATAATGAAACTTGATGAGCTAATGGGTTTTTTGCGCACTTTTGAGATGAATCTGGATGAAAACAAGGAAGGAAAGAAGGAGAAAATTATTGCCTTTCAAGCCAAAGTTGATTTTGATGGTGAAGAAGACTTGGCTTAGTCCATAACAAGGTTGTCGAAGAAATTCAACAAGGTGATGAAGAAGGTCAATAGGAAGAATGATAATTCAAGAAATGGCAACTCTAGTAATTTTTAAAAGAGTAAATCTGCAGCAAATAACACAGAATTGAAGACAAAGAACAGAGGTATTCAATGCCAAGAGTGTGACATATATGGACATATTCAATCCGAATGCGCTAATACCCTCAAGAAGAAGAATAAGTCATTTAATGCAACTTGGAGTGATGAAGAGTCAGAAGGCAGTCAGGAAGATGACGAACATGTGAGCAACTATGTTGCTTTAAATGTTTATACTGATAAGGGCATTTCTGCATATAATATTACAAAATGTGTCACAGACAGTGTTACAACAAATGCTGAAACAGAATATGTGAACAACAAAACTAAAGGAGATTTTTTCAGATTCTGAAAGTAACAGTGATGGTGAGGAATTGACTATTGATGACATACATGAAGCTTATAAGACCATGTTCAGAAAATAGGTTAAAGTGTGTGAAATGAATAAGTCTTTACGAGAGCGAGTTGCTGAGCTTGTTAAAGAGAAAGATGTGCTTAAGAAGGCTGCCGTAAACTATGAATTTCAAGTTGCTGAAAATGAGAAAAGGCTGCAGGACACAAGGGTAGAATTTGAGGGCACTCAAAAGTCACTTAAAATGATGAATTCTGGCACCACCAAACTTGATCATATTCTCTTTGTGGGAAATGCTAGTTGTGATCGTCATGGACTTGGCTACACTGGTGAATGTTCAACATCCAAGAAAGTGTTTGTGAAGGAGACGCCCGCTCCAAAATCTCAGACTATCCTCAGTAAGAAAGGTATTATCTTACCCCCATGACGTAAAAAGTTTGTTCCCATATGTCATTATTGTGGTTTAGCTGGCCATATAAGACCAAGATGCTACAAGTATTTGAATGCTTTGAAGAGAGGTATGCTCATGAATCCACCAAATTCCGCAAACTCAAGAAGGACACCTAAAATGAAGGTTGATGTACAAAACAAATTTCCTAGATGTGTGTGGGTAAGGAAATCTGATTTAAGGTGTCATGAGGCTTATACTTCTTTTAAAGCATGTACTACTAACTCTGAGTATTGTGGTAATGGTCACTCCAAGCATTTGATAGATGATAAAAACAATATGCATGGAAGAATATTATATTCAGGGGGAGTAAGACTCGTAGAGGACTCAGGGGGAGCAAGTTACATAAATCAATGAATTGGAATGTGATTTGCAGGAAAGTGTTATACCGAGTGTTCCATTTGGTGTTACAACACTTTCTGCGACAACAGCTTCTAAAAGGGTTTTCTATTAGTATTATTGTTAACTTTGGCTGTATTTCGTCAAAAAGGGGGAGAACTTTTAATTCAACTAACCCCCTTAGTTAGATTTTATCTTTTATCTTGTAATAGGTTCTTTTTGTTAATAATGTTAGTTTTGCCAAAAATAGCCAAAGGGGGAGATTGTTAGTGCATTTTTTGTGTTGCCTTATTTTTTGCAAATTGGTTGTATGATTGGCTGGCATTGTAAATTGGTGGTCCTCTTAAGGTAAGTCTTGTTGTCATGTTTATTGGCTGCAAATCAAAGGATTTGATTGTAAAAAATCAAGAGTGGACTTTTGGGGGAATTGATTGCTTGTAATCTTGAGGCTGGAGCAAGGTCGAATCTGTGTAAAAAGGGCTGAACGTATGTGTGGTTTTGGCTTCTAAAAAAAACGGAGAGAAAGTGCCGAAAATCAAGTGTGGACTTTTGGGGAATTAATTGTTGGTGATCTTGAGGCTTGAGGCAGGTTGAATGAGGGGGTAATGGCAGAACGTGTAGTGAGGTGTTGTTTCTGAAACATAGAGAGGGCTGAAAACTGAAAAGATGATTTTGTTCATGTCATAATGAGATTGTAATGTTAAGTGTCGTTAGATGTGTTACGGTGAATTGTTAGAACACTTTTGAGTTGGTTCTTCGGGAGAAGATTTTTTTGCTTTCAGGAGGAAACCGTCAAGACGAGTGGTACTCGCTGATCAAGCTTCCTAAGGAGATTCTAGGCAACGGCGACATCGTCAAGGAGGAAGTCGTTGAGTGTGTAAGACCGTTTGGTCCTTTGTAATCTTTTGAACTTAGTGGATTGATCGCTGTCTGGGCGTGACCCCGCAGAATATGTGTGTCCACTGAACTGCGATATCATTTTCCAGTGTCCTTTATGTTTCTACATTATTTTCTTGCATTGCTGTTTCGTTGGTTTAATTTTAGATTTTCTATTAAAATAGTGTTACAGTAAAGTGTTATAACACGATCTGTGACACCAGCGACAAAAACAAACATAATACCACATATGAGATTCTCTCATTCAATAGAACAAAATGCAACGACAAAAAATTAAGAAACTATTTTGCAAGCTCTAATGCAATACCTCTAAAAGGAACCATAGAACCGTGTTTAGTTGAAACATTTCAGATTTAACTAAGATGGTATATTTTAATGATATATAAAAAATAAAAAACTAAGTATATGTTTGTCTCTATTTGGGAAGAACAAGCGAAGTTCTTTTCCTCTTTTGGTTCTCATCAAACACAGCAAACAAATAAGTCTCAATAAGTCTCTTAGGCCTATTTGGTGTACCCTCCTAATTGACATGCCTAATTAGATTAAGCACTTGTACTCATTTTCAACGACAAAAATTTAAGATACTATTTTGCAAGCTTAGATGCAATACCTCTAAGAGGAACCATAGAACTGTGCTCAGTTGAAACATCTCAGATTTAACTAAGATGGTATATTTTAATGATAAAAAAAATTAAGATAGTATATGTTTGTCTCTATTTGAGAAGAACAATCAAAGTTCTTCTCCTCTTTTGGTTCTCATCAAACGAAGCAAACAAATAAGTCTCTTAGGTCTATTTGGTGTACCTTCCTAATTGACATGCCTAATTAGATTAAGCACTCGTACTCATTTTTAACGACAAAAATTTAAGAAACTATTTTGCAAGCTCAGATGCAATATCTCTAAGAGGAACCATAGAACCGTGCTCAGTTGAATTATCTCAAATTTAACTAAGATGATATATTTTAATGATAAAAAAAAAAAAAAACTAAGATGACATATTTTTGTCTCTATTTGGGAAGAACAATCAAAGTTCTTCTCCTCTTTTGGTTCTCATCAAACACAACAACTAAATAAGTCTCTTAGTCGTATTTGGTGTTCCCTCCTAAATGACATGCCTAATTAGACTAAGCACTCACTCATTTTCAACGATAAAAATTTAAGAAACTATTTTGCAAGCTCAGATGCAATACTTGTAAGAGGAACCATAGAATCGTGCTCAGTTGAAACATCTCAGATTTAACTTATAAGATAATATATTTTAATGATAAAAAAAAACTAAGATAATATATGTTTGTCTCTATTTGGGAAGGACAAGTAAAGTTCTTCTCCTCTTTTGGTTCTCATCAAACACAGCAAATAAATAAGTCTCAATAAGTCTCTTAAGTCTATTTGGTGTCCCCTCTTAATTGGCATGCCTAATTAGATTAAGCACTCGTACTCATTTTCAGACGGATTAGATATATGCATAAAATTATATGGCTATTTAGGAATAATCTTACCGCGGTTCTGTTATTTAGATTAAGTGGTAGCAAGTGACGGAAAGACACGTTTTTGATGACTTTTGACTAATCTAGATCATTCCATTTGTTGGTTTCATTTACTTTTTGTGTATGGTTGTTTCTTATTAGTTTTTTTTTTCTAATTTTATTATTGTTATTATTTCTTGTTTGTTAGCTTCCTTGTTAGATTGTACTAATTTTCTTTGTAACAACCAGGAAAAAGTCATCATAGCTTATTTAATGTAACAACCAGGAAAAAGTATAAGTGTATGTGTAAAATATTACTAGCTTCAATTGCTAGCTTCCAAATATTAGCACCGCAAAACAACTTATTCCACGAGTAATTTTGCGTAGTATATTGTTGGTCCAAATTTCCAATAATGTTCTGTTTTTGTTTTTTTAGACTTTCTCCGGTGTTCTCTCATTTTTTAAGAACACCGATATTTCTGTTTTTCAGCTGTCAAGATCTACATTAAAATCTGTATGTTCCGCATACTTTTTTATTCTGATGTGATTTTTATCAGATCTAACGATTAAAAAAGTATGGAACATCAGTGTTTCCAAAAAAGAGAGAACACCAGACATTTCGACAAGTGCAAAGAAAAGTACCTCTATTTTATAGACTATAGTAAACTTGTCAATAATAATAATAATAATAATAATAAGACTTGTCAAATAATAATAATAAGACTTGTCAAATAATAATAATAAGACTTGTGAAAGAATAGATGACTGAGGGTAGGTTTAATTCACAACTCAAATTAAAATTTAAGTTGTATATATGAAAGAAAAATATTGTAGCAAAAAAAGTTAAATTTGAATTTTTTTTGAGAGAAAATGCCGTAACAATAAAATTTGAGTTGTAAAATGAACAACGCCTTAATTTTTGTTACCATTCTCCTATAAATTCTGAAGCTCTTGAAGCATTTATCCTCATCATCACTTTTGTTCTCTATTTTCCTTTTTTCTCTTTGTTTCAGGTCTTACACACACATATAGCGACAAATTTTCAATAGTTACATTTTCACAGTGGTTATACCATTAAATAGATAAATTTGATGATGTTATGGGATAATAATATAATCTCATTAATTATTATAAATTTTTTTTGTTCAATTATCTAATCAATTACAACCGTTGAATCAATGAATTATGGTTAAAATAATGATACTCATAGATAGGTAAATGGGTAAATATTAAAGTAATTATTAAAATCACAGTTTGGGGTAAATTGATATAAGAACGAATCACTTTGCCCCGGCAAGCGAATAGATGGACTTGTCAAAGAAAATGTTTGTACCATTCTTCTATATATTCTCAAGCTCTTGAAGCATTTGTCTTCATGATCATCAGTATTTTTGGTTCTCTATTTTCCTTTTTCCTCTGTTTTAGGTCTCACACTCACACATATCTATATATCTATATATCTATATATATATATATATATATAATGGAGCTCTCAATCTCTTATTCTTCATTTCGAGGACCAACTATTATCCCTCAACGTTTTAAGGCCTCAGCTCACGACAATAGATTGATACCAATTAAGACGACAACCAACCAATTGAGCCTACCGCCAGTGCAGCAGCTTTATGGTGAAAGCAGATTCTCAAAATCATTTTTCTGTGGCCAACATAAGCGTAATCCTATCCGGGTATACTTTTATTTCTAATTAGCAACTAGTTAAATACACTTACATGCATTAAACTTTAACATTAGTAATGGAGTACTTGTACAATTGGTTATTTTCTATTCAACTTATATAATTAATAAAACACGAATTATGGTGATAGGCATGCGATCAAGTTGAACCTGCTGGTTCAGATTCAGATTCAGTACTTGCCAAAGCTCAATTTGAATCCGGCAGTTCTGATCCGGTACTTGCTAAAGTTACGCGTTTTGGATCTGTCTACTATAAATTCCTGAGGCCTTATGCGACGCATGAAGCAATTATATCAGCTATGTAAGTAAAAAAAAAAAATTATAGGATTCAAGCAAAAAAAAAAAAAAAAAAAAAAAATTTCAGCTATGTCCACTTAAAATATAAGTTTTAAGTATCCTCATTTGATAGTTTTAAGTATCCGTTTATTTCACGGATTCGAGTTTAGAATTCGAGTTTTGTTACAGTAAAAAAACTCTAAAAAACAGTCACATCTAACTTTTTTACTACGGTAAAAAATTATCACATAAGGTCACATCTAAAGTCGAATCAGCGAACTAAACGGACCTTAAAAATTTAAGTTACATGAATGATGAGAGGGAATAACTATCGTCAAAATTCTCTTCAACATCCTAAATTTACATTATTATACCAATTCATAGCTACACAATATCTCACAAACCTATATATTGGGGCCTGAATCTGAATTCAATAAAATTTACTGGATTTATCAATTCGGAGGAAAAAAAAAATGAAAGAGAGAGAAAAGTAAACAAAAAGAAACAAGAAAAATAAACAAGCTTCCTCACTGAATTAAAATTTCTTTATAACGTGATTCAAATATGCATGCTCTCTCTCCGTTTTTTATTTTATTTTATTTTATTTATTTATTTTTTTCTTGGGCAGTTGTCTATTTGCAAGAGTATTCGTTGAAAATCCTCAGTTGTTTAGATGGCCTCTGCTGTTTAAGGCATTTCCTGGCCTAATTGCTATAATACTTACGCACGCTTATTTTATTGGCATCAACCAGATTTATGATGTTGATATTGACAGGTACGCTTCAAATATATTTTGTGCATATCCATAATTGCTATGGAGACTTTAGAGCTGATGTATACATATATTTCGGTCTGTTCATTTCGCTAATTCGAATTTAAAATTCGAGTTTTGCTACAGTAAAAAATTTTCACAAATAATCACATATAATTTTTTTATTATAATAAAAAGCTCTCATATAAAATTACATCTCAACTCAAATTAAAAATTCGAATCAACGAATTAAACGGGCCATTGAGACTTTTTATATTTCTTTCTTTGTTCACAATAATTGATATTGAATACTTAGGATAGCTTTTCTAGTTAGTACATGTCAATTTAGTTGGGATGCGACAATGAATATAACATAAAATATTTTTTTTAGATGCCAATTTAGTTTAAATGTGTGATTAACTTTGATGCTAGTTATTTTTTGCGTCATATATATATATATGTATATATTATGCTTTAAAGACTTGGATAAAAAGATTTCTTTTGTTGTCGAGTAGAAGGCTACAATTATACAGTATTGGCCTTCTGTTTAATATTATTTACTTTCATTTTAATTTATTGCTTAATTAATAGCAAAAAGGCCTTTTAGTTTATTGTATCTTTATCTGATATTTTCAGGGTGAACAAACCTTATTTACCGATACCAGCAGGAGATGTTTCCTTGAAACAAGCATGGTTCTTGATGATATTTAATTTACTTGTGGGCTTGTTGATTTTTCGGTTGATGGATGCTGATCTCATCACTACTTCTATCTACTGTCTTGGAATTTTCTTCAGCACATTCTATTCTGCTCCTCCCTTTAGATTCAAGAAATATTCTATTACAGCATCAATTGTGCTTCCTTTGGTATTACTATTTTCTTCCCATCCTCTAAAGTCTGTCATGAAATTTTGTTTTAGTTTATAAATTTTATTGCATCATTAAAAATTCTGCCGCCCTTTAAAATGTTAAAAATAGCTTATTGATATAGGTATGATTTGAGAAACATTATTGCCATGTACATCTGTCTTCAAGTTCTCACGTTCACAACAAATTACTACATATGTAGGGCCTATTTAGTTCGTTGATTCGAATTTTTAATTTGAGTTAAAATGTGACTTTATGTGAGAGTTTTTTACTGTAGTAAAAAATTAAATGTGACTGTTTCTGAGAACTTTTTACTGTAGCAAAACTCATATTTTAAACTCGAATCGGTGAAATGAACAGGGCCGTATTGTGCTAGCATTTTGAAGTGGAGTACCTTTTAAGGTTACTCGTTGTTTTAATTTCTAAGGAATTTCTTTGGTTAGTCCTGCAAAAATGAACTATTGAAAAATTTTTTGTTTTCAACCATTAAATTTGTAACAAATATTGCCCATTTTGCATTTTTTTTTTTTAATAATGGTTGAGCAATTTCAATTATCAGAAACTAACCGATGAGGAGACCGTACTAGTGAAATTTCCTAATTTTTATTTAGAGCATCTTAAATTCTCTCTTTAACACACCTATATAGAGAGAACAATAAGAGATGATATTTGGTAACAAAAGCAACTTATGCAGACTTGCAGTGTCCTTCACAATGTCGGTGTAGTTTACGCCACCAGAGCATCCCTTGGACTTCCATTTATGTGGAGGTGTGCAAAAGTTTACAAAAACAAAAATTTTATTTTATTTTTCATTTCTTATTCTCTATCCTTCAAATTATTTATTTATTCTTTACATATTATCTTAAATATTCAGAAATTTTAGAGAACTTTTAGATTAGTGCATTAAACAGAGAGAACCTTAATTATATATCCTTCATTATTGACTTATTGTTGTTTATATATTATGCTAGAAGCTTAATTATTATGTAATGGTCTTATGATGCATAATATTATGAGTAACTTATTGTAGATTAAGTAGTTGGATCTTATGAAAGACAATATTATGCATAAGTACTTATGATTTATAAGTTCGTTCTTACACACAATTCACCTTTTAATAGAATCTCATGTTTCATATTGCTTTTCTATTTGCTTTGTAGCCCCCCGGTTGTTTTCATCACTACCTTTGCGACATTGTTTTTTGTGGTCCTTAGCATCATAAAAGATCTCACGGACGTGGAAGGTGACATGAAGTAAGCTGTAATTTTTTATGTGTCAACCTAAAATTTTTCATTTCGGTTACTCTTTCAATCTTGAAACATTAATTTTCAACTTGAATTTTCAACATCATTTAAAGCAATATTCAACAATATTACAGGTATAACATACGGACATTTGCAGCAATATTCGGTCCTAAAAATATTACATTCCTTGGCACGGGGATATTACTTGTAAACTATACTGGTGCTATAGCAGCTACAGTTTTCATGCCTAAGGTAATAAATTAATTCGTCTTGAAAGCTGCAAATATCCTAGATCTTAGACTTGTTTCTAATAAATCACTATAATTTTTTCCTTTTGATTTACGTTCATTTTTTTGGTAATTTATTGATTACTTAAGATAAATTATTGATTTATGAAAGAAAATCACCAATATGCTCTTGATAAATCGGACAAAATCATACATTTATAATGTAAATCAGTAACAAAAGAAAAAGATTGTGATGAACTTTTTTCAAAAAGATTTGGTCACAATTCCTTTTTTGTTTTTATTTTTTTTATAGGCCTTCAAGAGTTACATAATGTTGCCCGCTCATGCAATCTTTGCCTTGTGGTTGCTTTTTCAGGTTTGTCATAAATTCTAACAAGAAAAAAAAAACAAAATAAAAGGTAAAAAATAAAAAATAAAAAAACTCTTACAACTTCTTTTATGTGTTTTCAGGCCAGGAAGTTGGACAAAGCAAACTATACAAAGGTTTGTCATATGCAGCTTCTTTATCACTTGTTATCCTAGTGATCAGTAAGGAATTATTTATATTGATTACTAATTCTATGCTTTTTGGTATATACAGGAAGCAAGCGCAAATTTCTTTCAATTCCTTTGGAAGCTTCTCAATTTAGAGTTTATCTTGTTTCTTTTTATATAGCAAATCAGTGCAAATTAATCCGATTTCATAGTCTAAGAGGGAGGGGCAAAGAAAGTAGTCAGCAATATTGTTGAGATATTGTTTTTCCCCTAAAATAAAGCCCCTCAAAAATATATTATAGTTACAAATTAGAGAGATGATATAATAAGAAGCTATTATAATTAATAAAAAAAGAAAAAAAAAAGAGTTAAGGAACCATTGATTCTATTAAAGAATAAGAAGACATCTTCCCACAGTATTTTCTATTGACAATAAAATGGATAAAGAAAAGATCAAAGGATCCTATTGGAGAGGAAGAGATTATTGGGAGGATCTCATGTTTTAATATGGAAATGATGTCAAGGTTAAGATTGAATTGAGAAAGACGAAGATAAAACAGATGAGTGGGTGTTAATATTGTTGTTAGTAAGAGAAGAGAACATTTTCTATTAACAAATAGTTTGGTGACATGACCAAAATGCAATTTCTTCTTCTTTCATCGGTGTGCCTATGATGAAAACTTCAACAAGTGCAAATTGTGGACTCTTGGACCCGGATATCTAAATTCATTATTTCGTAATGATTACCAATTAAATCCTGAAAAGTTTGCTAAAATGACAATCTTATAAAATGAAATTAGTGAAATATATATATATATATATATATATATATATTAGGACTTTAATTGGTAATTTGTTGGCATTGATTGTAAAAATTTAAAAACAGGTATTTTTGGCAGTTGGTGTTTGTGGAAAAGATCGAATGTATTTTTAGTTGCTTGATTACTTTAAATATGGAATGTTCTTTTCTTAATAAGAATCAGTTTTTGGAAGGAAGTATCTTAGAAGATTTGTGAGAACTGAAAAGTTATTGCATATCTGGAAACTGAATAGAGTTTCTATTTTTGAAAGTCAACTATTGATCCAAATATGGTAAATTGTTAATTGGTTATTTGATTGATATTTGATTGAGTTTCCGCAGCTGGATGATCTTTCTCTGTCTCCTAGGAATGTGTCCAGATTCGAATATTAGTTTCGGAAAGATTTTAGGATTTAAGAAGATTGATTCTCGGACTGGTTTTGGTAGAGCTAATTCTGACAGCTATGTTACAGATATTGTTACAACAAGAATCTACAACAGATTTTGTTCAGCGAATTAATTGAAGAGGTGTCAAGCTATTCACACTTTACTTAATTATTCAATGTGTCCCTTGAGTCTTTGTACACATTTTGATTAGTTTTTTTGGGTCGTGAGATAAGTGTGAGCACTTGTATTCAAAGAGATGATTTGAATATTTTTCAGGAGAAAAACTTAGTTGGAGGGATTCCAATGTTAAAAAGTTTAGGGGATTTCACTGTTCAAGTCCATTGAGAAATTGCAAGTTCATAGGCGTCTTCTTAGAGAGGGAGTCTCGAGTAGATTAAGTCCAATTGAATTGTAAAAGAGTTCTTAGTGGATTGTTCATAATCTGGGCGTGGCCCCGCAGAGTAGGTTGTGACCGAACCGCGATACCATTTCTCTTGTGTTCTTTTATTTTACGTCTCTGCATTATTTATATTGTCTTATAAAGTATTAAAAGACTCAAACTGGTACCAATAATATATATATATTATTTTTAGAGCGATCTACTCAGTTCTATATTGTAAAAAATGAGTCACTCTCGATCTTTTAAAATCAATTTACAAATTAAAATTTTTAAGAAGTTATATTACAAATAAAGCTTTTTGTTTAGTTCATTTTTACAAAGGACTCACACATATTTGTAAAATGACTACAAAAAAAAATTATTTATAAAATGACTTTGAACGATTCATTTACACTGATCCAGAATGATCAAGTCAGTCACTCAGTGCAAAATTAAAAGAAAGTCATTTTGGTCATTTTTAAAGGGCTCGTTTGACAAAATTTTTGCTTTTATTTTTAAACAATAGAAGAAGAGAAGCAAAAGCTATGACTTTTTACTGAGTGTTTGAAACTAAGAGTTTAATGGGTCAAAATAATTTTTAAATTTTTTAATAAACAATAAAAGTATTGAAAGTAAGTTTATAATGCCTTAATTAAACTCTAGTATGAGTGTTAAAATATATTCATAATTATTTTTTTAAAAGCCATAATTTCTGACTTTGACTGAAAACTCTTCTGAAAAGTTAAAACACTTCTAACAGATCATCTAGCTTTAAACCTAAAAAGTCAAAAGCCACTTTTAATAAACTTTTCCAAACATACCCTAAAATTATCATTTCGGCAACTTTTTCCCCTGATAACTAATTTCTACTAGCAAGGACTTATATTCTTCTTCTTCCCATTTTTTTTAAGCCGAGTGTCGCTTAGCCTCTTTGCCTGTTGTGTTCTGTTGGCAATTTGACCCTTCTAATAAAGTTTCATTGACCAAAATGAAAAACTTTTAACCGAGTGTTGCCTGGGAGATTGAGTATATGAATCAGATATAGCTATTCAATAATAGTGTAATACCAGAATAGGTAAAGAAAGCATTCTTCGAGTCAGTGCAAAACTCCTCAAGGAACCTTTTACTTCATTCATCAATCTCCTTGCCTTTCTTTGGAGGTTCTTTGGTTGCAGCAGTGGCTGAGACTCTATTCTTCACAAATGAACCCTCTTGTGCTTCTATCTGGGCCTCCCCTTCATGGGCCTCAGGACCAGCCTATCCCCTTATCTGCTTTTGGACCGAGCCAATGTCCAAAATCACTTGGGCCTGACTATCACTTTTCCCTCCCTCAAAATCGACCTTGTCCTCAAGGTTGGGCACATTGTACAGTTGACTAAAAGCTTGGAGGTCCTCCCATTTGAATCCTCTGGAGGATTATGAGACCACTGTACCAGTACCTGCTTGATTGGTGTATCCTGAATCATGATGATTCGGCCAGCGAGAACAGCTATCGGAACAAGCAAAGGTTTATTGGTGTGGCTGAGCTCCGGTAGAGGATAGCTCGTGACTGGTGCCTCCCTGTGGAAAGCTTTCAACAAGGACACATGGAAGGTTGGATAAATTCGACTGCTGGAAGGCAGCTCCAGTGTATAAGTGACTGGTCCGGCGTGAGCGGCGATTGGGAAAGATCCGAAATAACAACGACATAGTTTGGAGTTGAGCTGTGTGGCGACGGTGGTTTGTCGGTAAGGCTGTAGCTTGACCAACACCAAGTCTCCGATCTTGAACTGAATGTCCCGACGTTTCTTGTTGGCTTGTTGTCTCATCCGATTTTATGCTTAAGCTAGGTTCTCCTTTAGCTGTTGTAAGATGTAGTCACGAGTCAGTAAGTCCTCCTCGACTACCTGAATGGTTGTGGCCTCTCGTGTGTAGGCTGGAATCGAAGGCGGAAGCCGACCGTAAACTGCTTGAAATGGTGTCATGCTGATAGCTGAATGATGGCTAGTATTGTAGTGGTATTCGGCCCATGAGAGAAATCGACTCCAATGTTTTGGAGTCTCGGCAGTGAACGCCCGCAAGTATTGCTCCAGATATCTGTTGGTGACTTCAGTCTGCCCGTCCGTCTGAAGGTGGTATGAAGAGCTCATTTTTAACTTAGTGCCCATCAATTCGAAGAGTTTCTTCCAGAAGGTACTAGTGAAAATTGGATCTCGATCGGACACAATGGTGCGAGGCATTCCATGTAATCGGATGACCATGTGAGAGAATAACTTCGTGACCTTGGTGGCCGTGTAGTGAGGAGGAAGTGCCCCGAAATGAGCATATTTGGTGAAGCGGTTGATCACCACCAAGATGTTGGTGTTTCCCTGAGAGTTTGGCAGACCTACTATGAAATCTATAGCCAAATCTTCCCATACACGCTCTGGAATCTCTAGCGACTGAAGAAGACCATAGGGAGCCATGGGAGAATATTTCACCGTTTGACAAATGACACACGCTGCCACATATGCTTTCACCTCACTTCGCATGCCTTCCCAAAAAAAATTCGCATTGAGCCGTAAATATGTTCGTTCCACTCCTGCATGGCCGCCTATGGGTGTATTATGAAACTCCCGGAGGAGCAATTTCTTCAATTGTGAACTTTTGCTAATCATGAACCTGTTTTTATAGAGTAATAGGCCGTCCATAATACTATAGTGATTATCTGTCAATGTTCCTTCAAGCACCTGTTTTTGGAGGTCTAGTAAATCCGAACATGCCATGTTTTCACGACGTAATTCGGACAAGAGATCATACCGGCTTGCTGAAATGGCTGCCTTGAACTGAATGTTCTACTCGTCGTGGCACCTCGATAAGGCAGCCGCGGCTACATTTTCCTTGTCAGCCTTATACTCAATCGTGAACTGGTATCCCATCAACTTCTGTAAGTAATGTTGCTGTTCTTGAGTCTGTATTACCTGAGTAAGGAGTTCCTTCAAACTCCTGTGATCAGTCCGAATGACAAAATGCCACCCAAGAAAGTATTGTCGTCATTTGGCCACGGCTTCGATAATTGCCCATAACTCCCGGATATAGGCTGATGCTCCCAGCATTTGCGACCCCAATCTTTTGCTGAAATAAGCCAGCGAATGCCCATCTTGCAACAATACCCCACCCATGACAATGTTTGATGCGTCAGTCTCGACTATAAAAGTTTTTGAGAAATTGGGTAAGTGTAGGACGGGAGTTGCGGTCATGGCATTTTTCAAGCGTGCAAAAGCTCCTGATGCTTCCTCCGACCACCTAAAATTATCTTTCTTCAACAACTCGGTGAGAGGGGCCACTATCACCGCATAATGAGCGATAAACCTACGATAGTATCCTGTGAGTCCCAAGAAGCCGCGCAATTTCTTGAGATTCCTTGGTTGCGGCCAGTCGACCATTGCTGCTATCTTAAAGGGGTCTACCTTGACACCATCTCGGGACACCAGGTGGCCCAAGTACTCAATAGTATTCTGAAAAAACTGACATTTGCTCCCTTTCGCAAAGAAGTTGTTCTCGGCTAGACAATCCAACACCAAACGCAAATGTTGAGCATGATCCTCGCGGCTTCTACTGTAAACGGGGATATCGTCAAAGAATACAATAACAAATCGCCGTAAAAAAGGTTGGAAGACCTAGTTCATGACCGTCTAAAAAGTAGATAGAGCGTTCGATAGCCCGAAGGGCATAACAACGAACTTGTAATGACCCTCGTGAGTTCAAAATGATGTCTTGTGTATGTCTCTTCGGTCCATTCGGATTTGATGATACCCAACTCGGAGGTCTAGCTTAGATAACACAACTACCCCGCCCAACTCATCTAGGAGTTCATCAATGGTAGGTATAGGAAACCTATCTATGATTGTGATTCCATTTAGTGCGCGATAGTCCACACAAAATAGCCAAGAACCATCCTTCTTTTTCACCAGTAAAACCGGGGAAGAATATGGATTGTTGTTATGCCGTATGAATCCACAATCCAACATCTCCTTAACCAGCTTTTCCATCACATCCTTTTGGAAATAGGGGTACCAATAAGGCCTCACATTGACCGGGGATGATCCGGACTATAGGTGTATTCTATGATCAACATTTCTGATGGGCGGTAACTGTCTAGGCTCTTTAAAAACTCGCTGAAACTGTCTGAGGATTCCCTTTCCTACTGCCGGTAGTTTAGCCTCTAAGTGATCTATCTCCGTGGACTATTTCCCCTGAATTTCCCCTACTGTTGTCAGCTTATAAACCCTACTGACCGCCCCCTCAATTATCAACGCACTCAACTGAGAGAACGTGACCTGGCGAGCGCTGACTTGGGTGTTGCCTGCCAACTTGACCGTCCTTCCCTCCCATTGAATTCCATGGTCAACTCGTTATGGTTATGCACACAATGTCCCAATGTTCTCAACCATTGCATGCCGAGGACAACATCCAAACCCCAAATTGGCAGAACATACAAATCTACCGCAAAACGATGCCCCTGCATTACCAGCTCCACCCCTGTACACTTCTTACAACACACTAAATAATGTCCATTTCCCATGTATACCTTAAACCTCCGAGTCTCCTCCCACTTAAGGTCTAGCTTCTCAACCAAAACTTCTTGAATAAAATTGTTATTACTACCCGTATCTATAAGTACCTTCAAGGTCTCCGTTCCATGCTTAGCCATTATTTGAAATATGCAGGGATTGACCAAATTTGAGAGACTATTGAGGCTTACCTCTAGTTCTTCGTCTTCGGTGCTATCTGCCATGCCCAGGTCTGAGTCCTCCGGCTCTTCGACATCATCTTCCCTGCCATACATTAGTAACACTCAATTCTTGCACTTGTGATTGGCGTGATATTTTTCATCGCAGCTGAAACAAAGCCCCTTCTCCTTTTTTTTCTTGCAGTTCTACTAGAGTTAAGCGTTTGATCGGCATTTGGAGGTTCCCACATATTGGTTTCCCGTTCGAGGGGAGAATGCCCCTGTCATGGTGCTTTGAGTACCAGGTTGGTGCCCAGGCACGTTCGTCACGGATATTCCGCGACCCTGCGACTCTGTTGTTCGGTACCCTTCCCTCCGATGTTGTCCCAGCAAATCCTCATTCCTGTCTTCAAATAACTGGGCCTTAGCCATGGCATTAGCCAAGTCGTAAGGTCGTGCCATTAGAATCTCCCTGCATACCTCAGTTTTCAATCCCCAAACAAAAAGGTTCAAGAACATAGATTCAGAAACACATGTAATTCTCGTCATCAGACTCTCGAACTCAGCTCAGTATTGAGAGACCTTCCCGGTTTGAATCAGCTTGGCAATACGTCCCAGCGGGTCATCATAAATCAAGGCCCAAAATCTCTTTCTCAACTCGTGAAGGAACACCTCCCAGCTAGTGAGAGCGCCACCTTTCTCCATCCACTGATACCACATAGAAGGTTCGCCATCCAGATGGAACGCCACTACTGCTAGACGCGTCGCCGGCTCGACCTGGTGCAGGGTGAAAAACTTGTTGATCTTGTAGATCCAGTTTTCCACGTTTGTTCCATCAAATCTGGGTACATCCATTATCAGCGTCTTCAAAAGGGAACTCATATCCACGTGAAGAAGTTCAGTGTCATCTCGTTGTTCTCCAACCCGGCTATTCTCTGCGCTTGCACTAGGCTGTCCTATGGTAACGCCGTCATGGTTCTGTGGCCGCGTCTCGGTTAAGACATCTGAGATAGTCGTTGGTCGGTGCTGGCCATGTGTTGCTCCAGGAGAGCGGAGAACTTCACGAGCTGGTCGTCTGAATGTTGCTTGAAGCTTGCCTCCATTGCCTTCATCAACTCTGCAATGTCCTCGTTCCTCATCGCCTCTCAATGAAAGCACCAATAATACCAGAATAGGTAAAGAAAGCACTCTTCGAGTCAGTGCGAAACTCCTCAAGGAACCTTTTACTTCATTCATCAATCTCATTGCCTTCCTCTGGAGGTTCTTTGGTTACAGCAGCAGCTGAGACTTTGTTCTTCACAACTGAACCCTCTTGTGCTTCTATCTGGGCCTCCCCTTCATGGGCCTCAGGACCAGCCCATCCCCTTATCTGCTTTTGGACCGAGCCAATGTCCAAAATCACTTGGGCCTAGCTATCATAGTGCGATTTTGTTATTTAGATTTATAGGTTGTTGAACATGTTGTGTGCTGATAGAATCGTTCAACTAATTGAATGATCGATGTTTTAATGACTTGTCAGTGAACATGTTGTCTGCTGATAGAATCATTCAACTAATTGAATTATCGATGTTTTGATGACTTTTCAGTAATTATACAATTGTTTTGATGACTTCTGCATTCATTATATATAGCTAAATTAGTCATTATTGTAACAATCAGGAAAAAGAGTACAAAAATGTGGAAATGTTGACAAGCAGCTAGCGTCCAAATTGTTTGGACTCTTTCATTATTATTATTATAATTGTTTTGACATTATTGATACTGTTAGATCTGATTTTACATCGAGTGTCACAGATAATGTTAGAATATTGATTGATTACTTGAGTTTCAAATTAATTACATTCAATTGTTCGAACAGAATCAAATGCAGAAAGTAAAGGAACACATAATACAGTATTACAGTTCGGTGCATACACCTACATCTGCAGGGTCACGCCCAGACAGTAAATAATTCACTATGTTTCAAATAACACTCCGAACTCCCTCCTAGATAATGACGTTGCTGTCACGAATCTCCATAGTGATTGTTTAGCGTGCACCACACATCTTCTATCTACTCAAAAAACTCCTTTTGACTGGCAGAGTGCTTTCTCTCGAAAGCAACAAATCCTCCTCCCA